TTGCCTCAGGAAAGATACACGGGACAGCATCAATACCTCTACTGCCTTACAGTATTTATCATTTTTTTCGTGTTTTTGGACCAAATAAACCCACCTGATTTATTTCGTTAACGTTTTGGTCCATTAACCTGAACATCTGCCAGTCCGGGTCTGCTCCACTGCTTGATCGAAGGTGGGAAGTTACACAGCCATTATCAGTTATACTTCTTTCCGCCTTCAGTAGGGACAAACAGTTGCGGCAGATTACAGGCCCCCCGGTCTGCCAGGCCCCCAAATCTGCCAGGGGGCCCCCGACCGCCTCCTCACCTGCTGCAAAGGGTCCACGGTTCATGGGCCCGTAAGCCCCCATTTGCTGCTGTCTCCATCGCCAAAACTCTGCCAGTCCCCCCTTTCAGGTTCCTACATCCTGCGGTTTTTCCTTTTTGTCATAGGTTGCTGGAAATTACGGCCCCCCAAAGGTTGCTGCCAGGCCCAAAATTCCAGGGCCCCCCGTACCGCCCCCTCACGCTGCGGCTGGGTCCACATGTGTCATGGGTCCCTGTACCCCCTCCCATTGCTGCTGTCTCCATCGCCCACTCTCCCATGTGCCACTTTCGGGTCTCCTCACATCCTGCTTTTTTTCCATTTTGCCCAAGGTGCTGGAGATTACAAGCCTCCCATAGGGCTGCCGGGCCCAAAAAATCCCCCAGGGGCCCCCCGTACCCCTCCTCACGTGCTGCTGGCCCACTGTGTCTGGGCCCCTGTACCCCCTCCCATTGCTGCGGCTCCCGCCACATCTGCCATTCCACATCAGGTCCCCCTCCCCCTGCGCTGGTTCCATTTTGTCATATTGCGGGCAGATACAGGCCCCCAAGGTGCTGCCAGGCTTAAATCTGCCAGGGCCCCCCCGTACCGCCTCCTCCGCTGCTGCTAGGTCCCATGTGCATGGGCCCTGTACCCCCCTCCCATTGCTTCTGTCTCCATCGCCACATTTCCCCCATGTCCACTTTCAGGTCTCCTCACACCCTGGGGTTTCCTTTTGTCATAGGTTGCTGGCAGATTACAGGCCTCCCATAGGTTTTGCAGCCCCAAATCTCCATGGGCCCCCTACCCCTTCACGCTGCGCTAGGTCCACTGTGTCATGGGTCCCTGACCGCCTCCCTTTGCGTCTCCATCGCCACACTTGCAAATGTGCCCACTTATCAGTATCCCCACACTGCTGGTGGGGGTTCCATTTTTCATAAGGGTGCATTGTATGGCCCCTTTTTGCTGCTGCCAGGCCCGGTAATCTGCCATGGGCCACCCGTACCGGAACACTCCTGTCATGCTGATTGCCAGGCCCGTAAATCTGGTAATGGGCACCCTGTACCGCCTCCTCCTAGTTGCTGCTGCCAGGTCACAGCGTGTGTCCATGGGTCCCTGTCGGCCTCCATTGCTGCTGTCACTCCATCGCCAATACTCTGCCATGTGACCATCTTTCAGGTTCCTCACACTGCGGTTGGGTTCCTCATTTTGTCATAGGGTGCGGCGCAGATTTCCGGGCCTCCCATTGCCCTGCTGCCAGGGCCCGTTATTCAGGATGGGCCCCCGTACCGATCATCTGGCCAGATTACTGGCTGCCATTGATACTGCCAGGCCCCAAATCTGTCACTGGAGCCCCATGTACCGCATCCTCACGCTCGCTAGCTAGGTACCAAAGTGGATGTCATGACGGTCCCTGTACGGGCCTACCATTGCTGCTGTCTCCATCGCCCACACGTAATGACATGAGCAATCTTTCAGGCCTCATCACACTCCTGTATGGTTTCCATTTGATCATAGGTTGCTACAGATTACCATGCCTCCATATAGTGCTGCCAGGCGCCCATAAATCTGCTCATGGGGCCCCTGTAACCGCATCCAATCATGCTGCTGCCAGGTCACAGAGTGTGTCCTGGGTCCTGTACACTATTAACATAAAAACATGGCCTCCCATTGCTGGCTCTTCTCATCGCCACACTTACATGCCATGTTCTGCCAACTTTGTCTGCGTCTCTCACACTGCTGCTGGGTTCCATTTTGTCATAGGGTGCTGTATGGCATCCCATGGCTAGCTGCCTCCACCGCCACATCTGTGGCTCCCAACTCTGGTTTTGGCCCCGTGACTGCCCAAATGAGTGAAGTGTGCGGTGATTCTAAGATCGACGGCACACATCTGCTTGTCATACTGAGATGACAGTATTTATTTCTCTTCCCCAGCAGACTCCAGGCAAGGGCATTAAATTAAAGGTACAGTGTTCTGCATAATATAAAGGCTCTCTGAAGCCTAGAAAACAACCCTTTTATAAGTTAAATTCACAGCGAATATATTCGACTCGAATCGAATTTTTTCCACACAATTCGCAAGAATCAGTCGAATTGAATTTTTGAATACTTCGCTCATCTATAAAGACCACCTTTTGAAACTCCACTCCACCAAATGATGACCACCGGTGAAATTCCCTCTCCCATCACTTTCAACTGATGACCATCTTTGAAACCACCTCCACCAGTGATCACCCACCTGGGAAACCCCCGAATCCCCTGTCCCATCATTGATGATCAGCCGAGATATCTTCTTCCAATTCATTAGATGGACCACCTGTTAATTCTCTCTTCCACCAGTGATGAACATCCTGTGTAATCCCCTGCATATCACTGATGACAATCTTTGAATTTGGCTCTCCCACCAATTGATCGACCCCACCTTGTGAGAATCCCCGCTACACTGTTGATGACAGACTGTGGAATCCCATCTACACCAGTGGTTGACCACCAAGGAAATTCCCATCACCCAATCACCTGATGACCATTTGTTGAATCTCCTTTCAACCAGTGATCGACCACCATGGAATCCCCTCCCCTCCTATTGATGACAATCACTGTAAATCCACCCCCCTCTTCAAACCAGTGATCACCACCAAGTGAATCCCCTGTATCCCCCTACCATCACTGATGACCATCTGAAAATATTCATCCCCATTACTGATGACAACCACCGCTGTTAATTCCCTTACCATCATTAATGTCCATCTGTGTGAATCCTCTCTCTACCAATAATGACCACATTGAAACCCCTCTCCACAAATGATGACCACTTTGAATTCCCCGCTCCGATCATTGCATGGCCACCTTGAACTCCCTCTCCACCACTGATGATCACCTTGAATCCCCTCCCCACTGACCATGCTGTGAATCCCCACATCCACCAGTGATGACCATCTGTGAATCCCCTCTCCACCAGTGATGACCATCTGTGAATTCCCTCTCCCACCAATAATGACCGTTTGTTAATCCCCTCTCCACCAATGATGACCACCTGGTGAATTCCCTCTCCATCATTGATGACCGTTTGTGAATCCCTCTATATCAGTGATGGCCTCATCTGTGAATTTCCTCTCCACCAGTGATAACTATCTGTGAATCCCCTCTACACCCAGTGATGACATCTGTGAATCCCCCTCTAACACCAGTGATGACCATCTCGTGAATTCCCTCTACACCAGTGATAAACTATCTGTGAATCCCCTCTACACCAGTGATGACCATCTGTGAATCCCCTCTACAGCAGTGATGACCCATCTGTGAATTCCCTCTACACCAGTGATGACCATTCTGTGAATCCACTCTCCACCAGTGATTACCACCTGTGAATCCCATCTACACTACGTGATGACCACATATGAAATCCACTGCACACACCTTGATGGACCATCTTTGAAATCCGATCTTCAACCAATGATGACCACCGGGAATTTCCCTTTCCACTTGTGGATGACCACCTCGTGAATCGCCCTTTAACCCCACGTGATGACCACCTGTGATATCCACTCCTACTACCATGATGCTGTTTTTGTATACTGAACTCGGGAACCCAGACTGCACTAGGGTATTTAAGACTCCCCGCGTTCCATCCTTGTCCGAACACAAATCCATGGACACCACCGTTGACCATACAAGACGAACAGCACCAGACTTGTATAAAAAACAGAAGTGGCCTGCATTACTTAACTAGAACAAGATATATACACAGGGTGGGGAAATACACCATAACAGGAACACATCAGCAGGCTTGTCCCCATCAGGGGGAAGGGCCTGCCGGAAACATGATCCCCCACCAAGCCAGTACAAACACATACAGTATATCCCATAATAGTTTGCTCCCAAGCAAGAAAACACAATAGAAAAATGGGATGCAGTGATGGCAGTGAACAATAAAAACCCCCCACCCCAATATTAGAACATTCCACCCCTTTCCCCCTAACAGGCACAGGGTGACCACAAAATAGGGTAGGAGAGGGAGACGGGGGTTCCCCCTGTCGGGCGGGGCCCCGAGGAACGACCCGGGCCCCAAACAAGTAACGCAGGGTGACGAAAACCACCCCCAAGCCCGGCGCCCCTCAGGGCGCGGAGTCTAAGTCCCGGCTCCCCTTCACCGGGGCCCCTATGGTGGGGATGGACTTGACGCAGCCGGGAACCAGGCGCGGCCCCCGAACACCTCAGCGCGGTAATGGCCGCCCCCAATGGCGTGTAGCGGGTGGAAGAAACAAAGAGTAGTCAGAACAACCGGGTCAACAACACAGGAACAAAACAGTACATGACAGCAGACTAGAATCACAGGTCATGCATGAGCCCCGCCGGTTCAGCAACAAGGGTCAGATGCAAAAGGAGAATACAAAGAAGAGTCAAGTCACAAGGGTAGGGAGGTCCGAATTCAGATACCAGGAAGAGTCACAAGAGTCCAGACAGAGTAATAGAACACAAGGAAAAAAAACAAAAGGGGAAACACTCCAACTCCAGCAGAATCCAAAGGACGCCACCGGGAGTAAATAACCTCAGGGAAAAGGTGGGCCCTTGACAGTACCTCCCCCTAAAGGGCCCCCCCTCCCCCCCCGCGGCTCAACAAAAGGTTTTAGGAAAAGCGGGTATGAAAAGCGGGGGGAGGGCAGGACATGGACATCCGGGGAAAGGAACCCAAACGCTCCTCGGGACCATAACCGCGCAAAACCCAGGAACTGTAATCGACCGCGCACCAATCGAAAGTCCGGGATCCGGCCCCTTATACTCCTCAACCGTCAACCCCGGACAGGACGGGGCCGAGGCAGAGAGGCAGTGAAGCGATTGCAGATAAGGGGTTTTTCAACAGGGAAACATGAAAGTATTGGAGATCCGCACCCCAGAGGGAAGGGAAAGGGGCATGGGCCACCGATTCATTTTGCGGAGAAGCGGAAAGGAAACCGACAAAACGGGGAGCATTTGGGTGGGGCACCCGAAGATTGGGGTTGCGAGTAAAAACCCACACCCGATCGCCGACCTGGTATGAAGGAGCGGGCAAACCGTTGCGACGGCGGGAAACTTTTGGCGCGAGCGAGTCCCTCAAGGCCCTCTGGATCTGCCCCCCATGAAAAACGCAGGGCGCAAATTTTTCCCCACCCCGGAAGGGTCCTGGGGAGAACCTCTGGGGTAAAAACGGGGGTTTGGAAACCCCATATTGGGCCCTTAAAGGGGCGACATCCCGGAGGAGGAGTTGACCGGATTCCTGGCAAATCCCCCAAGGGCAGGGATCGCCCAATCGCCTGATGGTCTGAAATAAAACTCGAAGGAATTTCAAGGCCTGATTGGAACGCCCGCAGCCCCATTGGACTGCGGTGGTAGGGAGTAAAAGGAGGACTAATCCCCAACTGAGAGCAGAAGGCGCCCAAAATTGGCACAAACTGGGACCCCGCGGCCCGAGACAAAATCCCCTTAGGGCAACCCATGCACAAAAATCTCCCTGGAAAAAAGGACCGGGGCCAGTTCTTGTGCTGGGGTAATTTCCTGAGTGGAAGCAAGGGACATTTGGAAAACCGATCACGATCATGGGGATGACCGTATGCCCCCGAGAACCGGGAGGTCACAATAAAGTCCACCCTGATGTGCCCAAAGGACGCTCCCCATTGGGGAAGGGGTTTTCAGAAGCCCCAAAAGGGAATGCCGTGGAGACTTATTCTGGGCACAGATCAACATGCCGCTCCATAAGGGCAATGTCGGAAAGGGGGGGGTTGGCCACCAGAATAAGCGAGAGACACCCAACACAGGGGTTTTTCTTCCCCGGATCCCCGGGCAGTTTGGGGCGTTATGGAGGTACGCAGCAGGGGGGTGGCAACCCCCCTCGGACAAAATATTACCCCTCCGGCCCCCGGGGGGGGAGCATCAGATTGGGCCCCCAAAAATCGCTCCCCAAAAAGAGGGAGGTCAGACGGGCAATGGACCAGGATCTGTCTGGGAGGAATAATGAGATTGGCCCAGAGTTTTCCCTGGAAACTCAGATTTGCCGGATAACGCATCCCCTGACATTTTGGAAACCCGGGCAAAAAAGAAACCCATATTTTGAAGCGTGCAAGAACAAGCCCATCTGCCGGGCGGGGTGTAAATTTTTTGGTCCAAAAGATAAGTCGGGTTCTTATGACGGAAAAATGAGACCGGACCGGGGAGCCCTCGACAGGGCCTCCTTTCCCTTAGACCAGAATGATTGCCAACAACCCCGATCCCCAAAACTGGTAGTTGCACTCTGCGAGAAAGATTCCTGGAGTAAACCCCACGGGAAGTGGGGGACCATGGGGGTCCGACGTTGAGACAGGAAGCGCCTTTTTTCCCCCGCCCGGGAGCATAAACCTCAAGGAAAAAGGGCCCCGGGATTGGGATGAGACAGTATCGAGCCCACCGAAGGGGATTAAGCCTCGAACGCTACGATGGCCCGGGTGGCACTGTGAGGATTACTACCCTTCTTGGTTAGGCTGAAAGAGGCTTTGCCAGCGTGGGGAATTTCCGGGTGAATCCGAAGTAGTTGCAAAAAAACCCCAAAAAGGCCCGAATGGGGCCAAGACCATTGGGACGAGGCCACTGCAGAACCCGCAGAAAAACCTTTTGGGGGTCCCCTGGAGAATCCCCCCGCGAAAAGTAGCCCAAAAAGGCAACTGGGATCGATGGAATTTGCCTTCTCAATTTACAAAAAAAATTCGTTTTCACGTAATCGTTGCAGCACCTGCTTGACACCTGGGAAGGGACTCCATGGAGGCAGAGTAAACCAGGATTTTATCCAAGTAAACAAAAAACGCATGCTGCAACAAGTCACGAAGGAATCGTTTATGAAAACCTGAAAAAATGCAGGGGCGTTACCCCAACCCCAAGGGCATCACCGGTTTCATAGTGACCGGTTCTGGGTTAAACGCGGTCTTCCCCCCTCCCCCTGTTTGATCCTACGATTTACGCCACCCTAAAAGGGCAAGTTTGG